TAATTACTCTTACCTTTGACTAAATTCTTCTACTGCCCCCTTACATAATTAAAGACACAATTGATTACTTAATAAATTGCATTAAACATCTTACACCATATCAAGTATAGTTATTTATACATCAAACATACTTGATTCAACTACCATCTTCTCATGCCACCTCAAACGCATGATTGACTGACGACATCAGCTGATATATACAACATCAGCATTACTTCAACTTCAAGATACTTAGTCATATCCATAATATCTACAATAATTCAAGAATACAAGAATACACCCTCACTACTTTAATAGAATTATTTCTCTCTACATCAAAGTGCAATATTATTATAATCATTTACAAATAATAAACATTGTTTTTACTAAATACATAATATTTTTTAGCCTTATCACTTATTATTTTCCTTTGAAGTTATCCTGCCGAAAGACTAATCCCTACTGAAAACTATTGAATTGGTAGTTCGAGCCACAAACTAAACCTTTAAAATCGAACAGTCGGTCTTATGTATGAGTTGCTATTGTTTTATGGTCACTAATACGTTATTAATCATTTTAGAATAAATGTCACTATTTCTTTTCGTAGATTATTACTTTAATTGATTATTAATTATATAAATTGTTAAACTGTGGTTTCTGTAGATGTGGTTGAAATTATATATAGTGCGTTTTATAATGATTGTGTAATGGTTAATAGACTGAGGCAAACTGTGTAGTAAAATCCATTAAATTTCACCTTAAACGCTCAACAAGAGAAGCGTCATTCACTATTGAAGAAATAATTACATTATTAACACAAGTAGAGGCTATTTTGAATTCACGTCCTCTCCAAGCATTAAGGGATTATCCTGATGATTGCTCAAACTTACACCAGATCACTTCCTCATAGGAGGACTTCTTAATACACTACTAGATCCATCATTAAAGGGCATAAATATTTCAAGACTATCCAGATGGCAATTTATACAACAGCGAGTCCAACAATTCTGGACTCAATGGACGAAACACTATTTACAACAACATCTCTCAACGTCAAAGTGGCATCATCCAAAAAATAACATCAAATTTGGATCACTGGTTCTTATCACAGATCAAAGATTACCCCCATGCAAATGGCCACTTGCCAGAGTCATTAAGCTACATCCAGGGAAAGACGAATTAACCAGAGTTAT